TACTCTTACGCAATTATCTCTCCAGTACAGAACAGGATTATGGGAAATGTTATTTTTCACCCAGTTTTCCACAAGGTCCACCAGGGGATGTCACTAAGGAAGCCCCTTGCATGGGGATGTGTATAAAACCGGCTGGGGTTCAATAAAAGCTCAGTTGACTCCCAAACTGTGTGTCGTCCAGTTATTGGGAAATGGAATTGGGATTATTACGCTACTTTGGATTTGTTTGCTGACTACGACTACCAGCAGAGATATCGTGGGTTATACCTCTACTCTTCCTTTTCAAAAAATATTCACAGATAGGTTTTTTTTTGTGTGGAACAAGCAATTAAATGTAGACCCTGTGTGATATAAATATAGAACATACTATAGTGTAAAACGTTACAACTAGGTAAAATAGTAAATAAAATTGGAGCACTCACAATTTACAGAGCCATAAAAGTTAGGCTCTGAACTATAGATGCATTTCATCCCCTTATAGGGATGGCTAGATCTGGTTGTTTCTCTCAAGACTGAAGGTATGGAAACTTTCCAAGGGACTCAGGAACCAGATGAAACTCACTTCACTGAGAATATTTCCTCAATCAGGGAAGAGATCTCTCATCTCTCTAAATCCACTACAAACTTTTCCCCTAACCTCACTCCCTCAGCTGTCCTATGCTCATTTGCACCCGCTACAGTAGAAGAGGTTTCTGCTCTGCTGCGTTCCTCCCGCCCCACCACCTGTACCCTCGATCCTATTCCCTCGGATGTCATCCGCACCTTGTTTCCTTCTCTTGTTCTGCCCTTTACTAAAATTTTCAATCTCTCCCTCTCCTCTGGCACATTTCCTCTACCCTTCAAACATGCAACCGTAACCCTGATTCTGAAAAAGCCCAACCTTTACCCTAATTCCTCTCTGCTGTTTTCAACTGGATGGCTGCTCATTTACTCAAACTGAACCTGTCCAAAACAGAACTTCTGGTCTTCCCACCCTCAAGTGTTGCTACTCCCTTGTCTGTGTCCCTCCAAGTCAATAGTGCTACCATCCGTTCTACCTCTATGCCTCGCTGCCTAGGTGTTCTGTTTGACACCGACATCTCTTTCACCCCTCATGTCCAATCAATCACCAAATCCTGCCGCTTCCATCTCAAAAT